TCAACCGACACATCAATTTATATCCTCTCACTGAAAGACCAGATCAGAGCATTTGCGGGCAAATCTCGAGTAAGAACGCAGATCAGATCTGATTTGAACATTTATCATGAGTGGGGATAATCGCGGTTTTCTGCGATGTGAAAAAAATACACACAAAATGTTTACGATTATACCTGTAGAGACCTTTCCCCGGTTCTGAGGTAACATTTCTACTCCAAATTCTTACACCAAACGGCGAAGTCTTTAGCGATTGTTCCTTTATAGAGAGAGTATCGCTATTTGTTATAATGCAAGAATTCAACCATCGCCACTGCGAGCCCCACATAGCCTGCACTACCGTCTTGTTATCACTCAATCAGACACACACACACTTAACCTCAGCTAAAGTGCGATCGTATAAGTAAACCGTGACGGCTAATCACTGTCCGAGAAAGAACAAGGACAACCTACGACTCGAACAGATAATTAAAAAATGAGGGAACAGGGAAATAGCTTATTCGGTATCGAAGGAAGCGCGTATGACGTATGATTATTAATGAGCGAAAATACTCTAAACTGGGTGATTTCACTCAAATTTATTGTGTAAAACTATAAACTTGAGTTTTAAATGAATTTTTTCTATTTCCATTTTACTCGAATGATCCAGGGTTATAACTCGAACAAGAGCTTATTCAATAGCTATTGATTAAATAGAGATCATATTTTAGTAAAATAAAAAAAAAAAAAAAAAAAATATTTTTTAGATAAAAATGTACTCAATTATTTCACTCAAAAAATTCACTCCCTGAGAAATATGTGTTCACTCAGGCTGATTTTTTACAGTGTACACATCAGAACGGACGCACGATGCGCTATACAAGTTCAAGCATCGTCAGCAGATGACTATTTCTCATTAATCTTCTGCTGATGATTGATGATGCCCATGTAGTTAACGAAACGCGTGTACAGTGTTAAAAATATAGTGTTTTGGTTTATAGTGGTGAGCTAGTGTTATATTTTGAAATTGTAACGCCAAAGGTTCTAAACTCAAATTAATTTTCTTCACATTCTATTTTTCTGACGTAATTATTTTGATTAAATATAATTTGGAATTAGGCACTGGGTTTTTATATTTGATTAAAATAGAGTTCATTCAAATAAGCAATTATGTAGTACTACTTTCCGACAAATTCTTCGACTTGGATGAAGAAATAAAAATTGATGAAGATGAAACTTTTGAGGCAGTAATAACTGAAAAGAAATGAAATGGTGAAAGTAATAACTGAAACAGAAACTAATAAGTTTCTGTTACACGAGTTGGTGACTAAATAACCATTTTTGCAAGAAAATGAACAACTTTAAGGCCAAAAACTGTGATTTCATTGATCCATTAGCCAAATAAAATGGAAATTAGAATAGGGATATCATAAAAAGACTAGAACGACAATAAAAATGCAAGAAAAACGGTGCAATTTTTAGTCAGCAGTCTTCATTCCACACGAATTATAGCTCAATATACGCAAGTACTACTAACCTCTCAAATCTTTTATAAAAGTGGATATTTTGTATTTTATACCTGTAGATATTGTGCTATGACTTATGTAGATATGTTATACAGGGTGTCCCAGAAATAATAGATTAATGCAGATATTTTAAGAGGTGGTAGATTTGATCAAAAGAAACATATTTTCGCTTTACCATTTTTAAAGTAAATTAATAATAACCAAGATATTTAACTTTGAAAATGTAAAAGAAGTAATGGTAACAGAACCGCTGGCGATAACCGGCTATTAAGGGTTTTTTTCACGAGGATTTTCAGGTTATTCGACGCCACAGGTGAATAAACAAGTGGCACTAAAAAGCTTTTTAACCAAACCAAACTTCATAGGCATGTTTCTGGGGCCGAAATATATCTACTACCCAATTAAAATATTTGCCCTTATTTCTGAGACTATTTCTAATAAATAGATAAGTTATAATACTTATTTAACCCTTAACTGGTCCGGCGTCGTCTGACAGACTACGCCAAATAATTAACCCATTCTCATTAGTCACCGGGACCGCCCACACAATTGGCGTTCCAGCTAATCCTCCTCCTCTCGGTCAACTACTGATAGCCATATTTATGCCCAAACTGGATTAGTTTTTTGGGGCTTAGTAAAAATCTAATTGTTTTTTTTTTCAAATTTATATGTATGTTATTTTATTTTGTACTATATTTTCTTAAAGTTTATATTAATTGAACCCATTTTTGTCTATATTAGTTCAATAATGCATAATATAAAATATAATAAAATAAAAATTTGTTATTTTTTAGTTTTTGTGTGTTTTTTTCACTTTTTAGAAGGCGTAGTCCCACAGACTACGCCGGACCGTTTATGATACGTATCTATTACCGGACCAGTTAAGGGTTAATAACACATATATCAGATACGTTACTGAAGCACTTTTAAAACAAATTGACTTAGTTATTTTTAACAAGTAGAAAATAAAACCAAAACTGCAAGAAAAAAATATATAATCAGTTAATTTTAAGTGAATTTCAGGAATGATTGTTTTACTACACGTAACGTATGGTGACTTAAATAAGTGCAATTTTTTTTAGAGGTATTATATATATTTTGACCCCAGAAACACGAATATGAGTTTTTCCTCGCGAAATTTTTTTTTGGAAAATTTGAAATTTTTTGAAAAACAATAGATTTTTTTAGTTTTTAGTTAAAAAACATAATATCTTAATAGTATGGCAATATAGGTAGTAGATTAAATTTACAAAAAAATAGAAAAAATCCAGTGGTTCTCAAAATTTAAACAAAAAAATTAAGTTTTTGGAAATTTTCAAACTAAAATAACTCGGTTATTTTGGACTTACTTGAAAAACGGCCAAAGAGAAAATACGTTTCTTTTATCGAGATCTATCAGCCCTGAAAATATTTGCACTAAAATAAGACTCACCCTGTATAGCCATTTACCAGTGAAAAGTTATTTCGTTCGATTTTTGGCCGAGATAAGTTAAGCACGCTGCACAACTATTTTCGGGTCTTTTTCGGTAAATCGCAATAATGTCACTATTAATTTAAGTTCTGCTATATAATTTCCATTTTCTTAAATTTCCTTTCCAAAAACAATTGTAGAATAAATAATAAATTATATAAAATAAGGTCAGTGAAAACAAAAAAATCCACATAATGTCAAATCAAATTTAAATGCTTCAATTGAAACCTCAAACAGAATTGTCAAGGATGAGACCTATGACGTATGCATAAACACATGGATAGCATTGGGTGAATATGCCAGTAGTCGGACATATACCAGTGGTCGGACAAAACGAATTTATTTGGAAATAAGTTAAAAATATGGCTTGGTTTGGTTTAGTATTGTTTCAAATAATTAAAAACCCAATCCTGTCAATTCTTCCGCTTTGTTCTATAACATTTTCTTTGCCTAAATTGTCACCCTGAAACCGTTAAAATTCTGGAAAGTGGCCATATCTTTGTACTACCTTTGTGCCTAAATTAAATAGGAGTTTTCATCAATATAATAAAGATGCATTAAGAAAAACAGTCCAAATTGTCTGAGAAGATATGTTACCAGGATTGAAAACATAGCCGTTTGCGGATTTCCAATAAAAAAACAGGCGTTGCTTAATACAGGTGAAAAAATTGTATCTAGAAGAAGAAAAAGTGAAAACGCTGTTTACGAATGGAAGCATCATTTTATGAACCGCGTTGCTATCGTTTAAAGATGATTTTTTCATATAGATAACATACCTACAAAAATAAACGGTATATACATATAATGTTCAAGATTAAATTTGCTTTAAAATTATACATACATTAAATAGGGGACTATACCGGATACTGACCAGCACTGTCCGACTAATGACAAAACAACACTTTTATCACTTAAAAAAATAATGATCTAAAATCATTAATAGTGTTAAGTATTATTTAATAATTTCCTTTCATTTATAATAATTTAACCCTAACTATTTAGTTATTGTTAGCAACATAAAAATGTGTAGGAACCTGAGTATCGATGTCGAGAATTTCGGGTACCAAAAGAAACACATGGTACGTAAAAAGGGACTCTTTCGGAGAAAGTGAACGGCACAGTGTGCGAGTTCATTCGTTGTAGGCCGTTAATAGGCGAAGCGTCAAAATGCGAACCTTTCTGCTTGTCTTTTATGTAAACCTTAATATTAGAAAAGTTAAATTAAATATTAAAATATACAGTCCATAGTGTTTCTTTATGTTCGACCCCAATAAATAGAACAGATAGTTTTACGAAAAAAAACTGTTATATTTAACGCGAAGCCCAATAACCACACTATCTATTTCATAAAATTTCATTTCCATGCCACCAATAAAGAAATTTTAATCACCAATTTAAACTCAGCTTTTTCTGAACAGTCCGACGACTGGTATATTCACCCTATACTACTTCCTTCATATTTTTATTCAAAGATCCATAAATTATAGCTGTAAGTTTCCATAAAAGTTTGACCTATCAAATAGTTTATTCTTTCAAGTAGATCCGCCTATTCCGAGAATATCTTCGAGGGACCCGAATTTATGTGCCCAATAAAAACTACGACCGATCAATTCCAATGGTCCGTTCTCGTTTCGGTTCGTCAGCCGGTACCGCTAGTAATTCGATAGTTCTAATGGCGGCCATTAGACCGAACCGTGCGTCGTCCCACCAATGAATGGCGTGACCTTCGCTACGAGTTAGTCATTCACCGTAGACAATAGAAATGTTTTCAGTGACAGTGCGTTATTAAAATGGAAATTACTGCTTTTTTTCAATTTCGAATCGGTTCTTTGTTGTGCCGCAATCGCCGATTGCACCCGCCGCGCTTGGCCTCAAGCTTTCCGGTCAAATTAGTAGCGATAAGGTTTTGTTTATGTAATTTCGAATAATTTGGAAGGGGGTTATTATCGAAAGGTTGAGACTCATTAAAAAATACATTGTATGACCTCGACTTATTTTGTATTTGTTGAAAAAATAAACGGGTACTACTATTTCTCCACTGAAAGAGAAGTCTAGAAAATACAAAAAATATTTTTTTTTATAAAATGGGTATTACTGAGTAGAATCCAAACGTAAGCTCGGTTGTCTGTGACTTTTACTGCTAAAACAAATTTCCCTAATCACCAAAAAAATGCTTAAAATTTCAGGATTCAGGGGTAGATACATGTGTATTTCCTCCCGTCATTAGAAGTAAAACAAAAAAAAGAGAGAAAAACAAATCTTTTGATTAACTTAGAGAACAGTTTCGTTTTTAGCAGACACCTATTAAAAACCCGTTGACGTTCTGATAAAATTATATTCACCTACATTATTATGTTTCCAAAACATGCTTCAATATATTTATTGAAGCATTTTTTGTTACAATTGGAGTTTGGAACCTTTGTTGTTACAATGACCGAAAATATAATTTACCTGTGAATGAAAATAGCAGACATAACTATCATTGTCATCGACCTTCTCCTTGCTTGGATTTATTATATTAGGGTACATTTAGGTTGCAGTTGAGGGTTGGATCCTTTGGTGTTATAACAGCAAAATAAAACACTAATTCACCACAATAGACCAAAACACTTTTAACACTGCGGACGATTTTCGCTAACCATGTTTGCATTATCAGCAGATGATTAAAAACTGAAGTTAGTTAAGTGTTTCTAATCATCATGATTAATGAAACACGCGTCTAGTGTTAAAAGTAAAGTGTCTTGGTGGTGAATTAGTGTTTTATGGAGGTGCATTTTTTATCTGTTAGCTAAATTGGTTTTATACGAGTATAGTTTGGATTCTGCGTGGTAAAAAAGGAAAATCAAACTAAGAAAATTATTTTTCAGTAGCGAAATATTCAGTGTTTTTTTCAGAAATAAACCTACCACAAAGGTATAGACATTATTTATTTTGTATTATTAAATTAATGAATAACTATATTATTATTACATTCTCTTTGCTTGTTTGTTTCACTTTTATATTTTGTATATATATTTTGTATATGATCTATACCGGGTGCGTCTCAAAACTGGCCCACCCCTATAACTTTCTTATTTTTCAGATAAAAAAACTATATTTGGTATGTTAGTAATAGTATGCGAAATAAATTAGGATTGATTGACGTATTCAATTGTTATTGATCACTTCCTGGTTCACCGGAAATTACTACAACTTTTGATTTTTAAATAGCACCCTCGGTATTTTTTTACTTTATTCGATAGAAAATGACTCTCTGAATAGAATGACAGATCATATGTAAACTTTTGACATTTTCGCTTAAAAAGACATATTTTAAATTTCAATCTAGAGTACCATGGCTGTGTTAAAACACTAATTTTAATCAAGGAGCCTTGGAAAAATAGATCTGATCGTCTAATGTTTTTAGTGTCTTGTTCTGGCCGGTGAAAAGATGTCCAAATCGTATCTTTAATAATATCTCAATTTTTTCAAATCAAACATGGATGACTCATTAGCATATTTGGAAAAAACATTTTTTTACGAATAATTTGGTACCACACACTTGGCTTTTTGAGTCAAATTCTCGTTAGGAATGTTACAATTTAAAATAATGTTTACATGTTACAATTTAAAATAAACCATATGCAAAAATGTCAAAAGTTGACATATGATAATATGTCATACTGTTTAGAGTGTCATTTTCTATCAAATAGAGTAAAAAAATACTCAGGGTACCTATCATTTAAAAATCAAAAGTTGTAGTAATTTCCGGTGAAACAGAAAGTGACCAAAAACAATTGAATACGTACGTATCAATCCTAATTTATGTCATATACTGAAATACCAAATCTCGTTTTTTTATCTGGAAAAATAAAAAGTTATAGGGGTGCGAGCCACTTTTGAGTTTGAGACTCACCCGGTATAGGTTGGTGACAATTTCGATGCTCAACATTGGAATTTCGGAAACTTCAAGAGATACGAATTCGGTTAAATAAGACAAAAGTTCCGTTATTACAAGTTTGACAAACGTCTGTAAAGAAAGCTTTTCGGTATCTTGATTAATTTCCGATTTAGGTATGTAAAAAAATGAAAAGACACGTTTACTTAAAATGACAATATCTTTAGAACTACAATGATATATTGTTTTACCGAAATTTGATGAAAATATAGATACCTACACAAATGCTAATAAGTCTTTAATTGCCTGTTAAATGTGGGTCAATATAATGCACAACACTGTACTTATTAATAACTAATTAAACTCTATTACTTTGTTATGAATTAAAAAACAGCTTTGTAATTTTAACCCGTTAGATACATTAGAAACTTAACTGAAATGTCAAGGTTAAATAACACCTTATAAATTTATCTACACACTTTGACATTTCCTGCAATAGAAAAAAATTTTGCGTTTGATTTTTTTAAAACTTAATGTTGAAATTATACCGACTGATGACTATTGCCTGTGATTTACCTATGTCAATTGAGATAAAACAACTCTTTTAGTATACAATATGATATTGGGACTCTAAGTGATTTTTTATTATTGGTTAAAAAACATACCTAGTATCTTGATAATATGGCGACATATGGAGACATTTAGAAGAACGGAAACCCAGTAAAAATGTGGTTCTCAAAATTTAAGCATTTTTTTTTTAATTTTCAAAGTAAAATAACTCGGTTATTTTGGACTTAACTGAAAAACGATAAAGGAAAAATACAATTCCAAGGAGATGTACCAGACTTTTAAAAACATTTGCACTTACTTAACACTTGCCATGTATATCTAAGATTGTCATGTACTACAATAACTTCAATTAAAAGAATATTTTCATACCATTAAATGAAAGATTTTTTTATTTTGTTAGTTTTATTTGTTAATGGTCTAAGGCGGTTTCTTTGAAGCCGAAACAGCGCCATATGCTCTCTATTAATTGACTAAATGAATAGGCTTAAGTACCGTATGATCGAAAAAAATCGGCGTCAAAGGCGGTTGGACAATGGCAATCGATGATAATTTTGGCGAGGTCAATCTCTAGACGTCATTTACAAAAAATTGACATAAAACTTGTGCAAAATTAACACTAATTATAGAATAATTAAAAAAGAATAAAACATTTCCATAAATCATAGCGTTATCTTGATTAATTTCCGTATCTTGATTAATTTCCGATTTAGGTATGTAAAAAATGAACAAATATGTTTACTTAAAATTACAATATCTTTAGAACTACAATGATATATTGTTTTACCGAAATTTGATGAAAATATAGATACCTACACAAATGCTAATAAGTCTTTAATTGCCTGTTAAATGTGGGTCAATATAATGCACAACACTGTACTTATTAATAACTAATTAAACTTTATTACTTTGTTATGAATTAAAAAACAGCTTTGTAATTTTAACCCGTTAGATACATTAGAAACTTAACTGAAATGTCAAGGTTAAATAACACCTTATAAATTTATCTACACACTTTGACATTTCCTGCAATAGAAAAAAGTTTGATTTTTTTAAAACTTAATACTATTGCCTGTGATTTACCTATGTCAATTGAGATAAGACAACTCTTAGTATACTTTTCATCCGTAAATTTTTTATTCCGGTCCGTCAACGGAGAAAGATCGTACGGTAAAGGACGCCTTGACACTTTTTTGACAAATTTAACCTAACCTCAATAAAAATATAATAGTATAAGAGCTAGCAAATATAATAGTATAAGAGCTAGCAACGTCGCGCGTCGGGAAAACGGGAATTTTAAGAAAACAGGGCTGGAACTCTGTAACTAAATAGCGATCGGAATCGGAGCGATGAAGAATACTGACCTTGGCTGTACAAACTAAATGGCAAGCGACATTATTCTTCATCGCTACCGATCGCTATTTCGTTACAGAGTTCCAGCTCTGGTTCTTTAATATATATTTTGGTATGCTCTCTTGTGCTCTCCTGACCAAAGCGCAGGGTCGTCTGGTTGCCGTTAGACTACTGCGCATCACATCTGTACAGGGTATTCCATTCTCGTGTTGTTTATGGGATTTCTCGTTTATGAGTGGAGATACAATGATGCGATTTTCATATTACATTGCTACTTTTTTATGAAACTAAATATTCCACACATTTGTTTGTCCTAGCCTCCTTAGTTCCTGAAATACAGGGCCAATTTGTGATGCGCAGTAGTGAACAGATGTTAAATACCTACCGTCTACCGTCTTAAATAAAACGTCTACCGGTCGTCAGACGGTCGGCACTGTTCAGGAGAGCATAGCGAAAGATATATTACAACTTAACAAGTATAGCTAGAGACGTGGGAAATATAAAATAACACGCGACCGGTGCTATCCCCAAGTCTCTTCCTATATTTACAATTTAAAAATAATTTTACAAGATACAGAGTATACCATATATATACCCAAATAAGTAAAAAATATCAAAGTTGTATTTTTTTAAATGGAACACCCTGTATATCATTACATTTTTAGTTTCTACGATTAAAATAAAGGTAAATTTGATTAAGATTTATTATACTTAAACCTTACCGTTTTTGAAATATTTTCAATTTTGTGAAATTGCAGTAAAAATTTTAAGGCTTCATTTCTCCAAGGGTATCAAAGTTTTTAATACTAAATATTTACTGAAGTTTATTTACTGATCAGTTATTGTGTTGCAATAATAAAAATAATACTACCTTATACAGAGTGTCTAAAAATTTATTTTAAATAATTATTAGCTTCAAACGGCAATAACTTGTTTAATTTAAACGGAACACCCTGTATATTTTACGAGAATCAGATGCACAATTTAATTGTCTATCAAATTATATTATACCATTTTTTACCTATCTCTTTAAGTTTCCGTAGAAAATGCATTTTTTCTTGTAATTTAGAACTTATTTATCAATATACCCATGGACTATTGGATATTTTTTATTTATTTGGGACACTCTGTATCTTGTAAAAATATTTTTAAATTGTAGCTGTAATAGTCCTTCAACGAACCCCAAACTTACAATTTGTAAAAATCTCATCGTTTAGCTACAATACTCCGTGTCGTATGTGGTGAACAACCCTGTATATTTGTACAACTGTACAACCTAACCTAACCTAACCAGTTCTCTTAAAATTCCCTATCGAAAACGTTGCTATCTCTTAGACCAGGGGTGGATACAGAAATTTATTTTAGGGCGGGCCCAAAATACAAAGCAATGTAGAATATGCTTTTTAGGGCGCCACACGGTGGAAAGACCCAATATAAAATGTTGGACATTGACTTAAAAATAAAATTTTAAATTAAATAATTTTGGTAGAAGATTTGAATTACTTAAAGTCCAGACCGTTATATTTTATCCAACTCAAAAAAATATTTTTAATTATATATCTGTTTGAAAAGTTTCAAATGAAGATATTACACTGACTTAATTATGGTATTCATTTCTTGTGAAACAACCTAGTTTTATAAAAACTGGCAAAGACATTAATAATTTTTTTTAACTATACATATTAGTGCAAACGATTGTTTTCACTTTAAAATAAAAGATATATATAGTCACAAAAGTTTGGGAGAACAATTGTATATAAGAGACACATAAACATTTTTTTGCTGCTAAATACTATATTTAGTAGCAAAAAAATGTGTATGTAGAAAAATAAAAAAATGGCCAAAGTTGGCCAAGACTTTATATATATCACAAGGTAGATTAAGCCTTTCTAATAACGAAACTAATTTAACATCTTGCCCCAGCTTGCCCCCCTCTAAAAATTTCCATTTAATATATTACTAATACATGCTATACTAAAATCAAAAACCTTTTCAATTCCAATAAATTAATTTAAAATTTTTAGAGTCAAATTATCTTTATTTTTTTATAAATTTATTAATATTTAATTATTAATTGGATAAATACAAAATGACGCTAAAATCAAAAACAGATACAGGGTGCTACAAATATATGGAAAACTTATAAACTATTGGAAAAAGAAAGAGGGTTAAGTACAGTGTTGAGGTTTTTGTTTGTAATAAAAATATTCTAGTGCGTTGATTTACTGTTATATTCTTTGCTTATAATAAAGTTATTGTACAGGGTATCCCACTAAGAATAGCTCTCGGCTATATCTCGGAAAGTATTAGCCGTGAGGCTTGCGGAAAAAATATTCATAACTAAAGAGACCATGAGAAAATGCTGGAAATTATTTTCAAATTTGTAGAATGGCCGCTAGAGGGCGCAACTGCTATAAAAAATAAGAAAATAGAGTTTTTACACAACTTTGCCTAGATAAGGGGTACTATAAATAATAGCTTCATAATCTTCAGTAAATTCTGAATATTTTTTGTTAGAACCATTTTCCCCTATCTGCCAAAATAAAGTGGTGGGGAAAGGTTAGATCTGTTTTTATTTAAATATTAATAATTCCGGACTGGATGGACGGAATCCAACTAACTGGAGCTCGTTTAAAATACCGTTTCTTACTCTATATTATACCATATAAACAATAACTGTAAGCTTTTGAACGTAGATGCTAGGGGGCGCTGTCTTACAAATTAACAAACATTGTGCGTTTTTTTCAAAAAAAATGCGATGGTATATGTCATTTTAGCTGATAATAAAGAGTAATGAAAGCTTAAAAAGTCAGTGAAAACCGCATCTTGATATCTTCTTTCAAATCGAAGATATTAGCAAAGTTATATTAAATAGGAAAATATATGTAAGCCCTTAATTACCATATTTTTATAACACGGTATCAGTAGTTTAGATTTCAGATGTTAAATACCTACCGTCTTAAATAAAACGTCTACCGGTCGTCAGACGGTCGGCACTGTTCAGGAGAGCATAGCGAAAGATATATTACAACTTAACAAGTATAGCTAGAGACGTGGGAAATATAAAATAACACGCGACCGGTGCTATCCCCAAGTCTCTTCCTATATTTGTACAACTGTACAACCTAATCTAACCTAACCAGTTCTCTTAAAATTCCCTATCGAAAACGTTGCTATCTCTTAGACCAGGGGCGGATACAGAAATTTATTTTAGGGGGGGCCCAAAATATAAAGCAATGTAGAATATGCTTTTTAGGGCGCCATTTTTAACCAAAAGCCTAATATTTTGCACAATTTCCAGATTTTAGGGGGGGCGAGCCTCATGCCCCCCTCTGTATCCGCTGTGTGTCTCCACTGTCTTAGACTATAAGTAAAACAGCGAAATCTCGTTATGAAAATGAAAATATAAAATTACACCAATCACAAGCATATCGTATATCCGATACACGGAGACATGAAAATGCAATAAATTTAAAAACTGCGTTATTTTCTAACCAATCAAAGCCTTTAAATTCTACCAATAAAATTAATATCGTATCGTCGGATAACGGATAATGACGATATTGGAATGAAAATCATTATTCTTAATTGTTTTTGACTTACCAGCACCCCGTGCTGCGCTACGTGTTCACTATCCAGTTTGCCGTCCCCTTCTGCGCAGAAGATGCACTTGCTCTGCGGCGTCCAGCCCAAACCGGTGTCGGCGTCTCCGGCGTCGTTCTCCTTGGCATCGGCGGCCACCGGCGAGGCGGCGCGCGCCGGTTCCTCGGCTGACGCGCCTTCCTCCTCCTCCTCGCCCTCCTCTTTCGCGGATTGTTTTCCACGACTGAAAAAGAAACAACGGACAGTTAGTATAGTGTGTCCCATTGTTGTGTGTTTTATGGGGTTTCTCGTTTATGAATAGCGATACAAAGATGCGGTTTTCACATCACTTTACTGCTCTTTTATAAAACTAAAGATACTACACGCAGATTTGTCCCTTGGTTTCTAAAATACAGGGCGAATTTGAAAATGTTGCATTGAGAACAAACATCTACGCAGAAGAACAAACTTCTACGCTAATTAAAACCACTAATTTATTCCACTAATTTGGAGATTTTGAATGAAGCTTGAGTCCCATAGAGTTTTGCATGTAGAACTCAGTGGCGTCACTAGATTTTCGCTGGGAGCTGTCATTCTTTAAATACGACCCAAACTTACGTTTTTTTTAAATGGAATACCCTATATTATATTATTTTTTATTTTACTTGATTTGTTAGGAGCTTTCTAAAAATATACGACACTCTATAATTATTTTCATAAATAAGCTAAAAAATGCATTATTTAAGTTTTTAACATATACAGGATGAGTCTTAAATCAGTGCAAATATTTTGAGGGGATGAGTCTTAAATCAGTGCAAATATTTTGAGGGGTAGTATATTTCGACCACAAACGCTTATGGATTTTTTTTGTGAAAAAAATTGACAAACACCTAACTGTAAAATTACATATACAATAAACAAAAATTCAATATTCCCATAACAATTCATTAAAAATTTAACTTGAAAAATTAAAAACAACCCTCTTTCCTATAAAAATATACAGTCCTATTATAAAAATCTAAAGGTCAAAGTCTAAACAATTAAAGTCAAACTGTAAACAATAAAAAATCTATAAAACAAAATGAATTTTTAATAACTTTATGTTCTTGTAAGTTCTAGGTGGGTAGTGTCCTCCAATATTCTCCCTCAACCTAACCGCCCTTTTTTAGATTGATTCTTTGATTGTTATTGTCATGGAAATAAGTTTCAGGAAAATAACAAAAGTCGAAAAATCCAAATTATTATTTTTAATCATCGAATCAATTGAAAGAAAGTTTTTGTGTCCCGAAATTAGAATGTAAATAAACTAGCTGGAGTCTTTGTGAATTGAAACTTCATTAGAAGATATAAACCATTTGAATGTCAAAAAATTCACTTCATTCACAAATAAAAGTTAGTTTTTGGTATACCGGGTCGCTGTTATGTATGGAAACGGCCGATTATTAGGTAAAATATACAAGGTACCGCAAAAAGTTAAATACAAAATTTATCTATAGGGTTTTTAAATGTCTATTGGCTAGTAATAAATTTATGTATACAGGGTCGGTTATAAAGTCATGGTATATCAAAGTTTAATTTTTTTAAATAGAATCCACTGTATATTATTGCATACTTCAATTTTTCCTTCAATTCTAAGCAAATATCAAAATACACAGTGTACCTCAAATCAACCGTTTCCGAGTTATTGACTTTTGAACATATAACTTAAACAATTTGATTTAATTAATTTCGATATGTTCAGTTTTATTTAATGATGGCATTCTTCCGAAACTGTGATACTGTTGTAATGGGTTCCTTTCAACTTTATGCAATAATCGTAATACACAATGTACATAAATTGAAGAGTTGAAATGTTAAACGAAAATTTTGTAATTTCCAGACTTGATATAATCTCATTTTATACATCTACAAATGCTAACTTGGGAACTAAGTATTCTCAAAAAAAGAACTCAAATATGTATTAAGTATCACAGTTTCGACAGAATGGCATCGTTAAATGAAACTGAACATATCGAAATTAATTAAATCAAATTGTTTAAGTGATATTTTCAAAAGTCAATAACTCGGAAACGGTTGGTTTGAGGTACATTTTTCGATTTTTGTTTAGAATTGAAGGGAGTATTGAAATATGCAGTAATATACAGAGGGTTCCATTTAAAAAAATGAAACTTTGATGTGCCACGACTTTATGACCGACCCTGTATACTTAAATTTATTACTGGCTAATAGATATTTAAAAATCTGATAACTTTTGCATTTAACTTTTTGCGGTCACCTAATAATCGACCGTTTCCGTACATAAAAGCGACCCTGTATATGATACCAATGCCGATGACAACTCAAATTATCTATTCAAATGTCCCGCTTTTAAATTGTATGTATGTCTGTTGGTAGCTGTGGAAATACTGATGCTAAAATTTATATCGTGCCCTAGCGGTGAATGGTTAAAGTGAATATAGGTTGTTTTAAACTATTTACTATATACAATAAAATTTATCTAGCATATTTGTTGAAGCAAACAAACAAAGTTGAATTATGGTAACGAAAGAATTTATTGACACTGATTCTGAAGTTAAGTTGATAAAATATTAATCGAATAATCAAATGAAAACTTAGACTTGTTTTCATTTACCCCGTGGATACACCGCGTTGAGGAAAATGAAAACACAGGTTTGGAGCAAAGAAAAAAGGAAAACATGTTTCCTTTTACCTAAAGTCACTACAGAGGTGCCAGATCTCACCATAAATCACTCACGATTTTGATCAAATCTCATGATCTCACGATTTTTTACGTTTCACCAATTAAAAAGTAACTGCTTTCAGAAATATTAAAATATCTAAGATACTGACTAAAAAGCGAAGTTCCTATTCATGAGCTTATTAATATTCATTTACCCCATGGTCACCTCAATTGTTATTCATAGCGAAAACCAAGCTGTGTGTGTTTTTATTTACCCCAATGTGTGGGTAAATGAAAATATTCATGGGGTAAAATGGGATAAAAACACATTAAAACAATCTTTATCTCTACTTCAATAAAAATTATTTATATATAGTTTTGATGAATATTTTCACATACCAAGCTAAGAAGGAACCGCATAGGAAAACCAAACCAAAATACAGTTCGGACCACCCTGTATAAAAAAGGCTAGAAGCACAGAATATACAGGGTGTTTCAAAAAACATGCCATTCCTCGCGTAAAAATATGATTTATTTTTCATATCAACGTATAAATAAACGTAAAATATAATAAATTATATGTTTTACCTAATTTATTATTAAATATTATTACTATTAGTCCAGCCTACAGCCATTTCAAATAAAAAAATAATGGTATTTAAGATAATTACAAAAAAATCTAATTTTAAAAAGTTTTAACATCCTGTAACTCTAAAACTATGCATTTCCATACCCATATTTATAGGAACTTTTTTATATTTTTTGATGAGGAATCAATGAGTACTTATTTAAAGCTTTCGCAAGTTAATGAAATTAAAATTTACTAAAGGTTGCTATTAGACTTGGATCAAGGCAAATTAATAAAATTGCGTTTATTTCATCAAGGAGGCCGAAATCGACAAAATATCAAGAGACAATTTTTGATCGGCATTAAACTGCTTATAATATTTCGCTAACAAGAGAAAAAAGTCAGTGGCGTACATGCTTTTTTTAGAAAAATATTCCAGTGATAACCCATATGCAAGTGTCCCTGGTTAATATGTCGACACTATATTAAATATACATTTATAGTCAACTTTTATCCTCAAAATTTCATTCGAAACGCTAAAAGTACTTGAAAGAAAATTATAAAAATCGAAAAAATATTAAGACTTCAACACCCTGTAGCTACGAAATAAAGCAGGAGCGAAATTCACCAGAACTATGAAAGTGTTAGGCAGGGGCTGAAGATTTACCAGTACTGTTGCCACCTCTATTACGCTGGTCTTACATCTATTATACAAGATTTTCATCAATATCGCAATTAGAGCCTGTCCATTCATAATTTTTATTACTGTCTGGAAGGAATTAGAAGAAATATTTGAAAATAGTATTCGAGACCCTTAACGGTCATTCGGCCAACTATTGTAGAGTCCAAAAAGCTTTTTCTGCGACAAGAACAATGGGCACTAAAATTATGTCCCGGTTAAGCGATGATTGCTTTGAAACAAGATTTGTTTCTTCAGAACTTTGCCTTATCAATTAAGGCAAAGTTCTGAAGATTAAAGGGTTAATAGGTTAATAAGAAAAGACCCTAATTAATCATATACCTAAGCTAAGTAAATTGTAAATACTTAAATAGTATCTCATACGTTAACTATTTTCTTTAAAATCTAAAGTTATATTTGGTTTTACTGGACATTATACGTGTCTGTACCATGCGTTTTTTTACATATTCCTACGATACAATTTTCTTTTTTGAATAATATAGGATTTAGTATTTTTATTTTTTCCATAGCAACTGTTAAAATTGCTTTATATCTATCAAAAATAGTAGATAAAATAGTACTTTAACCGCAATGGTAGATTAAATGATACTTTAACAGCGAGGATAGGTTAAAAACTTTATTTCTTCTCGCACGTTTTTTAATTGCTTTCATTTTTGAAAATTTTTGTATTCCTTATTAAGTTATTCGGGACTTAAATGGAAGTAGTTTGGATATGGCGTTTGCCGCCTCAGCCTGAATATCTGTTGGTAATTTACTTATTTCATTTTGAGCCATTTCTGGCTCCAATTCAATCAGCAATCGAAACGAAAGAGAATTGAAAAATATTGACTCAAAACTGACAACTAAAGAGACAGCTTTATTTAGAGACAACACCAACCCAGCACAATTTTTTTTCTACTCGTAATAAATTCCTTGAAATAATAATTTCTGAATATTTTTTAAAACGTAACTCGCTATGTAGGCCAGTGCAAATAATTTTGAATTTGCAAAAATTTTTAGAAAGTTGCAACCATTGAAAATAGTTAGCCTTAGTAACCCTTATTAACATACTAAAAGTCCCCATTTGTCCGATGTGTGCGTCATCAAAAAAAATCGGCCGCAATCTTGAATTTTGGTACTTTTTGGGAAAAAATGTAAATAACTCGAAAACGGTGCGTTATAGCGAAAAAGTTCAAGAGGTAAAAATTAAAGAGAATAAAAAACTCTATCAGAATCAATAAGAACAGGTTATTATCCTAACGCAGTGATGTACAATTTTTTTTTTAAATCGAGCAATTTTTAAAAGGAATCACCGAA